CCCCGCCCGCCTCCTCCGGCCTCTCCACGGCGTACCTGTGTGGGACGCGACCGTGCGTGGTGGTGGAGTCGGGAACGAACGCGCACGTGTTTGCGCGACTGTCTGTGCGTGTGTGTGTGTGTGTGTGTGTGAGTGTGTAAGTGTTTCTAGAAAAGGTTGGAAAGGTGGGGGGGGGGCGACTCAGCGTCTTTGATACGGCGAGTGTTTATCCTGCGGTCCCTTGCAGTGCTGCTGCTGCTCCAGGTGACATCCCCCTCCACCCCTCCCCCGCGACCGCGCGGTCGAGTATAGACGCAAAGGGCGTGGTGGTGGAGTGGCAACTGGTATGGGTTGGAACGTTGTTGTAGAGAGTTTAGCTGGTCAACGAACCTGTGGCTGCAGAGCTCAACTTGTGCTCCACATGTCCCGGCCCGCCCGGCGCGGTCGGTACCGCGATGCAGCCTCCTCTCCCCTGCCCTCCTCCCTTTCTGCGCGCGGTTCATGCCCGCGAGGAACACGTTGGACCTCCGACCGGAGCCGCTATTTTCCCGGATTCATACAACGGCAATCGTCGGATGTGGCAAACTCTTTTTGTCAATCTGTGCGCTGTTCTAGAAATGAAATCCGTATCCGAGCCCTATACTTGCATCTCTCACCAGGAGGCTTATATTTTAGGTATGCATCTCTCTGGCTCTCCGGCCTAGGCCCTGGTGGAGGGCTGGAAGGGTTCACCATGCATCTCTCCGGCCACCGTGGAGGGCTGGGAGGGCTCAATATGCATCTCTCCAGCCCTACTGGAGGAGCTCAGTATGCATCTCTCTGGCCCCACTGGAGGGCTGGAAGGGCTCAGTATGCGTCTCTCCAGCGCCACGGCACGGTAGCGGCGCCGCCGCTCTCGTCTATACATTATACATGCAACGGCGACATCCTCGCGGCCCTGCCATGCTTCTCCGAGCTCACCAGTATATTCCGGAGTACGGAGGGGCTGTACGGCGGCGGCGGGGAGGGGCGGGGCCAAATGGCTTTTACTTATTATTTGGTGTGTCGTGGGAGTGGCATGCATTTGGGCTGCCGCTGGTGGTGTGGTGGTGTGTGGTGTGGTCCCACGGGCGGGGCGGGGCGGGGCGGGCGCGCGGCAGAGGATATGAAGACGCCATGAAGACGCTGCCGAGGGGCTCGAAGCGTTATGACCGTCCGGTGAAGCGTGACGCATTTGTCGGCCCCAGAGCCGCCGGGCCGAGGAGGTGGGAGATGAGAGAGAGAGAGAGAGGGGCGAGGCGGCGAAGCGATTCGGAGAGGGTGCAGTGCAGTGCCCCGCCATGCCGCGCGGCCACGGGCCGGGGCTCGCTGGTGGTGGTGGTGGTTGTGGTGGTGGTGGTGATGATGATGATTGTTTTCAGGGACACGCCGCCGCCGCCGCTCCGACAACGCCAAGGCGAATGCAGAGAAGGAATCTGAAGTTTACGATGCGTTCGCAATTCTGCTTGGCTTGGGTGGTCAGACGAGCGTGAAATATCGGCTAGCAATTCTATCCCGAGAGAGGCGCAAAGGGCTGTGCTGCTCCACTGCTGTGAACTCTTTCGGTTGCCGCAAGTACAGCGTCATGCGTAACGCGTCATGTCGCTTGCAGGGTTGTGCAAAAGTGTTCGAAGATGTTCAAAACCTTGTATATTTCATTTTAGCCAGCACGCAAAATATGCATGTCGGGTAGAATATTAGTTTTACACGCACCACCTGGCACGCGCGACTAATTGACTTGCCCTGATTTGTTTTCTCAGCTTCCTGGCGAATCAGACACGCGCCCCCTCCGCCTCCACCCGTCGGAGTACGTCGACGTCGGGGGCCCCCCGCCTCCGTCTGGGGTGGCGACGACGACGACGACAAGGAAGGGGCTGCTGCTGCTGCAGGACGGCACAAACACACACACACAAAAACGCACACACTACTGCAGTCCTGCTCGTCTGTTGCAGCGTATTATTCTAATGAAATTGGCAAAGGGTAGGGGGGCGAACGAGGTGCTTCCGCCCCTGCCCGTGCGGCGGGCCGGCGGGCGGGCGAGCGGCGGGGGTGGGGCCGGCGTGGTGGCGGGGCGTAGCGGCGGCGCGCCCCCGCCCCAGCGCGCGCGGCCCGCCCGACTCGAGAGCGCTCAGTCTTGGGCGGACTTTCCTCGCGTGCACATCGCGCTGCCGGCAGTGTCGGGCGCGGCGCGGGCTACTCGCGGCCGGAGTGTGGTGTATTCTGGAGTGAGTGAGTGGGTGTGCGGGCGCGACCAACGACACGACGACATCGACAACGAGAGGACATGTGCGCCCTCTGCTAGCTACGCTGGCGTGCGTGCGTGTGCGTGCGGCGAGGCGTGAGTGCGCGTGTGTGTGAGTGCAGTGCGACGTCCACCACCACCGCCGCCATGGGGTGGGCCGCGGTGGCCGTGTTGTGGTGCCTGGTGCTGGCCGAGCTGCCCCGACATGGATTTGCCTTCAACGTGGACGTCGAGTCCGCCGTCCCCTACCGGGGTGTCCCCGGATCTATGTTTGGATTCACCGTCGCCGAGCACCGCGACCAAGGGCGCAGCTGGTGAGTGTGACACTACTGGTTGTTATTTAAAATTGAGTATATAGTTTTGCCTAATTTACGCGGAGCACGCGGCAAGAGTATCGAAACCCAATTCGAGTCGGGCAAGAGCCGCCGCAGGACGGGCGGGGAAGGCCGCCTGGCGCCGCCCCGCACCCCGCCCACGCTTCTCGCCAAAAATACCGCGTTCGAGTGGAGTGCCCCACTCTGCCCTCGCCCCCCTCCCTCACACACACACACCTTCTGCAGGGCCGCCCCCCCCCCCCCCGTGTACCCGTTTGTTTAACCCTTTCCCTCTGCGGGTCGCGCTCTTGATCGCCTTGCCGCGGCCCGTCCCACGCGAACACCTGGCATATCGCGAGGAGGAGACTTGCGCCCGCGACATGTATAACCGGACCAATGATTTTTGCGGTCTGTTTCGGCCGATGTCGAATCAGACAAGTGTTTCCTTTGGCAAGCTCGAAATTTCCTTTCCTTGCCTGGACTTTTTATTTACCCAGCCTCTAGGAGCGCGGCCAAGGACGCTGGGTTTCGTCTCGTCTTATTCATTGCGCCGGTTGAGGGATATCGAATTACGTTGCCCTGTGGGTACCCTGCTGCCCCCTCGCCCCGCCCCCGGGGTGTGGTCAGTGTCAGGGCTATGCCCGTCGTGTCAACCGCGGCAGTTCCTCCTGCTGGGCAGGGACAAGGACATCTGGCCACCTGGCCTACGAAGCTGCAAGTGAGCGACGCAGACTTCAGTTTCAAACGAGAGGGGCTCATATCAAAAACGACTTCACAAACCGTGCTCCATTCAAGCGGGGCTTCTTGTAGGTGAAGTGCCAGCAGCCGGTCGCGCGGGCCTCCAGGAGGCGGTGCGGCCGCGGCCCGGCTGGAGCTGGTTTGGCCGCGCGCCCGCGACTCTCGCGCCGGTTTGGGCGACACCCACACAGCTGATACAAGCCCGCGCCCGCTCTCCACGCCCGTCTCGTCTACGACGACGTCGCTCTGCGCTGCTCCGCCACGACCCGACCCGATGGCGGCGATGACTTTTACAGCGACGGGGCGGCCAAATGACTTTTTCAGCCTGTTGAAAAAATAATAAGAACTCTGCCAGTTTTGTCGGAGGAAGCTCCGCGCCGCCGAACTGCAGAAAGAAAAGGGTTAAGCACCAGTTTTGGGCCGGGCTGCTTATGCCGCCGTCACCGCCGCCCAGCCCCGCCCCGCTGCGCCCCCTCGGCTCGGTGAAGGTCGCGCCGACTGGATGGACGCGAGGATGCCGACAAGTGGACGTGAATTTAATGCAAACTAGCGTGCGCCCCGCGGTCACGCACGCCACGCTTGGGCCCCGGGCCCGGCCCGCCCTGGCTGTCACCTGTTGGCTGCGAGGCGAGGAGGGGAGGGTCCGGGAGGGTCCGCCACGCCGACCGGGCGGAAGGACACTAGACGGGCGGGGCGGCGGGGGCGGGGCGTCCCGGCGGCGGTGGCGTCCCGGGCGGCGGCGGTGTCGCTGCGCAGGAACATGTCCCATTTCCGAGAAGTTGTCCGACGCGCGTCTGGAATACGATAGGCGAGGCGGTACGGCGGAGACCCTGGCTCACATTTTTACGGACTAGTCTTTTTGAACACTTTTGAACGACTTTGAGGGCGTCGCATTGCTTTAGGCGGCTGGATATCTGCTGGTCCAGCCTCAGGCCTTTCCGTTGCTGTGAGGGGGAGGCTGTTTACTCCGCGGCCCTGGCCGGCACCCGCCCGCCCT